GGAATAATTTGCGAGCTGCCATGATCACTTTTGACGAGTTTGTCAGCAGGTGCCTCTTCCTCGTCTGTGTCAACAAGACCAATTTATACATAATTCTAATTTGTATGAGGTTTACAGGACGGCCAAGTGAGGACTTATATCCTTGGCAGAAATCCGATGCAATCAGCTTTAAGCGAAATATCCAGTAAAGCTTGATCTTTCTTAAAGTTGATTGCTTGGAGTTTACTTTAAAGATTGTCAACTTAGGCAAATTAAATATTAAGCGCTCTGTAGGCATTGAAGCCGTCCTGAACTTCACTGTGACCTGCTTTGCCCCCCTCTTCCCCAGGCAATTGGAGTGTAAATAACTATTTATTCTGTCCTAACGCCCCGCAAGCTTATGTTCATTTCTCCAAAAGTTGCGTGAGCAATTATTAAGTGCATGTTCTTCCATAATGACATATAGAAACAAGAATGCTTTAAAAACAATATGCCAATCCCGCCCCAGCCAATATTTTTCCCGATTTTATTTCCTTTCCTGTGCCCTCCCAATTGAAACTGAAATACTAGGACTGGTAATACTTATTCACTCTCCTCTATTTTGATCTGCTTTTTATGTATATTAATATTTTCTCCAACGTCTTGCCATCCTCACAGTTCACCCTATTTCTGATTCAATGCTCCCCTGGCCAGTTTAAGAATGCCTCACATCTTAAAGCAGCATCATAACTGATTGTAAAAGCCTGCAATGATAGAGGCACTGATGGGTGTTTTCTCCCTAGTTACCTTGCATTCCTTCTTCAAACTCAAGCATACTTTGCAAATTTACCTAGCCTCGACGGTATTGAGATTTTGCTATTTTCTTTACATAGTATAACGTCTAGAATTGGTCTGAGTGCAAGAATTCTATTTTTATTTTTAAGCTCTACATCAAATAATGTGTGAAACTGTGCGTACAGATACAACATTAACTGAAGAACCATAAACCTCCCAAGGTTAATAGAATGAAATGCTGGAAAAAATTGCATCTCTATTTGATTATTACAGTATCTCCCTCCTTATCTCTCACAAGTATTTAGGTTAAAGTAGATTTTTATCCAGTCTAGATGTCTATATATTTCTAATATCATCGTTCTACTTCCACTCGGGCAACACTTTTTAAGATATGTTCTGCGTGAAAATTTTGGTTTTCGTTATCTACGACTTGTATGCGCTGTTTAGACTATTCGATTCTTCTGGCTTAAACAGAAGCCAACCGATAAATTTAAGTCTATTTTGTTACCTTGACTGCATAACCAAATAATTTTTTCAGATACATTTGTTTCCCATACCTTTCGTTTACTTACTATTATACCCTCGATAAGATTGTGGAACCCTTTATTTTCTTTCTCTTTCCTTGCGAGTCTGTCATTCAGCAGACATTTACTTGGCTGTCCTTGTGTAATTGTTCTTTTTAGTTCAAACCCTAGCCTGAGCAAAGACTTTTCTGCTGTATTTAGGACTAACCCGCTTTACAGATGCCCAAATCAGTCAGCTAACTCATTTCATCCATAAACTATTCCACCTTTTTCTTTTTGTTTAGCGTTGTTGAACCCAGCATATCTGGCCTCTTCATACACCGAACGGCCGGATAACTCTTTTGAAAATTTTCCATTGAGCCTACTATTTTATATCCTACATTTATTACGGATCTACAGAGTGCCTCGACTACAGTTTTATGCATATTAAATGCATTATTCACTAACACTTTATTTTCGAAACTCTTTTATTAGAACTCGCTTTAAAGATTACCAATTCGAGTAAGACATTTGGAACAGAAAATTGTCAAAGTTAGACACCTTAAACACCAATGCAATCGTCTGCATAGAAAGGATGCGCAAGATGAGAAGAGCGAGTGTCGTATGAGAAAAGGGATATGGAATACTATAATACATTTTAATTTTTGGTATAAAAGTTAAGCTCGTTTGGGCTGTCCGCAGTTGACACTCTGTTCGGAAGAATCGCCTTATTCGTGGGCTTTAGACTGTCGCACTGTGACGTATACAACTCATTGTACAGGGTAATCTTTACTCATTCAGCTCGATGAACCGATTTTCTCGATCTCTGACTCTAAAGAGTTTTTCCTGTTGTAACAGTAGCATCTTCAGCTCCATTTTATCTATCAGTCCATCTCTGTTCAAATCCCATTCCTTCAAAATCACGTCCTTGTAATGCTCCATCGCTTTGTTGTCGTACTCCTGTAGGGGGGAGGAAATTCAACAACTTTAGGCAAGGTTTAGGCAGGAAAGTGAATTTAATAAATTTGGCACAGTTGTTTTGATGCTACTTTGAGAATGAAAACAATTATTGAGCCTAGCAAATAAGTTGAGCCCCAGGCAACATCGGCCTTAGATGAGGTATAAATATTAGGCATAGGCAAATAGTCAAGGGATATATTTTAATGATCTCATCAAAGTGACCGTTGGTAAGCTCAAATACTTACCAAGCGCGACAACTGCAAGAGATCCTTCAAAAATGCGTCGAGGGCCTCTACGTTCATCACATCTTCCTGGGCCATTTAGGAGAGCGGAAATGATGATAAAAGGCAAATAATAGGAGCGAGCCATTAGAATGCGTGTTTATGGCTACTGATATGAATCTAAAGTTCACTATGACATAAAATAGATTGCAGATAGTGGGGTCATTCGTGGCAGTTGTCTAGGATAAAATGAATGAAGATTTGCCCAGTTTGTGAAAATGCTCCCAGTAAACATACTACCTAAAAGATAAAAGTAGTCTTATGAAATAGGCCTTTGCAAGTGACCAGAGAGGAGGATAGCCGACCCGCTGCGAGTGATACAACAAAGTCAGACCCTGGTCGGGGTTGCCCGTTAGGCCGGCTGGTTCAGTCAATTATCAAAGGCATATTTGTGCGTTGGCGGGTAGTAACGGCCAGGGTGAAGCTTGATCAGTTGTAAGTACCATTGAAGGAGGCTGGGCACGGCGTGGATACGCGAGAGTCGAGAAAGCCTGAGATTCTAAAGTGCATTTAAGGCCTTTTTTCTCGTTTTTGGCAACAGGCTCTTGCCGATTAATATTCTCAGATCGAGGCGAGTTCTGCCAGCTCGATGCATGCACTGAACTTGTCTTCGCAATGGATGCATTGGAGCGTTGTTCTGTCTACTCGCTACGCTTGATGTGATTATATAAAAACAATTTTGCAAAAGCAAAACACCGAATTGTAAAAAACGAATGATGAATTCTATAGCTTTTGTTTAGAATAGTTGTTAGGGGGACTTTTATTTCGTATGAAAGTGCATGAACAAGATATTCGTTGGTATGAAAACGAAGATGGTGTGGCCTTTTGTGTGGTCGCAGTCTCCTTTCGTTGTATAGATGTTGTTTGACCTTGTTTTCG